ACAAGTGGGGAGTCAATGAGCTTTACACAAGAGCCCAAGAGGTTGGTGAAAAGAGAAAGAACATTGCATGCCTGGGGGGTGGAGGGGGAGGGGAGAAACAGGCCCCAGCACTTTGCAGAAGCGTGGTGAATGGAGACTGCCAGGTGACGTGAATCTCACTCTGCGTTGCTGGGCTCTCACATGAGCCTGGATCTTTCCAGGCAGCCCTGTGAGCCTGCTGCCTGGCATCACCCAGGGAGTCTTCTCTCAATGGAGGGATGATCTGTTCTGCAGGAAGCTGTGGGAGACCCAATTCCTGTTCTGCTGCTGGGCAATAAACTTGACAATGAGAAGGAACGGGAAGTCCCCCGAGGCCTGGGAGAGCAACTCGCCAAGGTAAAAAGCCCATACTTCCCTCTTTCTGGACACCGACCCCACCTCCTCACTATTCAGGAATAAGCTCAAGAGCCTTAGTAGGAACTTCTGGAAGCCCCCTTGAAGAGAAGCAATTGAGCAAATGGGAATCTTGGCATCTTAGGAATGACTTGGGTCCTATCCATTTATAACTGCAAAGAGAGGTGAGGTCATAAGGTAGAGCTGCTTGGAGGACACCAGGTAGGAGAACTGTCCTAACCGCTTTTATGTGGAGCATGGACTTACAAGTTCTAAGGAATCGGGAGACTGTTCCCTCTAATCTTGTTCCGATACTGGAATTCCACCATCTGCGTCTCCACTTGATCACTGTTGAGCTTGAAAACCTCACTGTCCACCAGGCAGCAGTGTGGACCACTTTGCTGCAGAATGTGTTTGACGTAAGATGCTTTTGACATAAGGAGCCTAAAGGCTGAGACCTGAAGAAAAACTCAAGAAACATCTATCTCAAAGTAAACTCAAGAAACAAAGTATCTAAATAAGCATCAGCCGTTGTGGCAGCAGGGCTCAGTGGAAAGTGGGGGGGGGGTGTGCACAAGGGCTCCCCCTGTGCTGCTTTCTTGCCTCTGGTTTCATGGAACTGTGTACCTGAGAGGAGTGAGGCCCAGCACCCAGTGATGCACAATTCTTGAGCTGCTTACTTAAAACGGGACTCAACTTCAGAGCCTGAAATGAGCTCAGACGGTAAGAATCAATGGAGAGGAGGGTAAACAGTCTGACTGGTCACTGGGCACCTCCATACTTCTGACATCCAAACACTTTGACGATAGGAGGTCTTCTGTCTGTCTGTCTGTCTGTCTGTCTGTCTGTCTGTCTATTTTGTTTTTGCATTCCACCTAGCTAGAAATCTGCCTGGGATTGACATGAAGCTACTTGTGGACTTTATCACCCTTCTAGCGGATATCCAAGTGTCTCACTGAAGAAATATTAATATATTTGATTACAGAGTGCTGTCCCAGACCCACTGATGGTGTTATATAATATGCAGTATATATGTATTACCTTTCTGAAATTAGAAACTTTGAATTTCCAAATACACATAGAGAAAAATACTTTGGCTGAAGAATATAGCCCTGAATTATGATTATTATCCCATTTTCTTTTCTGTTCTCCCTCTTTCATTGTTGATTCTATTTTCGTATTGAGACAAGGTTTCCTATATCCCAGGATGACCTTGAACTCTATCTTTCTGCTTCTACCTTCAAGTGCTGGGATTCCAGATGTGTGCCAGCATGCTCTATCGATGCCACGCTGGGGACCACACTCAGGGCTTCATAGGAACTAGGTAGGGACTCCACCAAGTGAGCTATGCCCCATGACCCATATCATTTTTCAAATTTTCAATTGGTAAAAAACAAATAAACGCGAAGACAGAGCTGAATGACTCCCTCCAAGTGTGGTAATGATTGGACGAGCAGTTGACGCTGGAAGGCAAGTCCTCCTGTGTTCCAGGCTTAGCTTCTGGGCCTTTCTGTTTACACCTCCGTCCTTGAAGTGGCTTCTTGTATAGACTTCTCCAGAGTCAGCTCTGAGTCTCTAGTGTGGGCAAAGAGAGGTGAGTTGGAAGCCACTATTTTCAAAGCCTCCTGATCTAGTCTTCCCAGTGCCTCAGTCACCTGTCACTAGTCACCACAGACACCCTCGGAAGGGAGAGCATCCAAACAAAAGCTAGGTCCCATTAGTACTGTTGTCATGAAGTAAGAAACCTACTAATGGAAGCGATTACTGGCCATGGGTCCTTGGCCAAGAGGCCCTATATACACAGCAGCACCTCTGCCAAATGAGTGTCGGACAGTTGCCCCATATACCTAGGCTCACAGCCGGGGCAGCCAGGGTACAATCTTACTGGAGCCCTGTGACATCTGTCCGAGGTCCACAGAGGAGCCATGTCCTGTAACAGCAGCTTTAAGTGCCACATTGCTTCTCTAGACTCAGTTTCCCTGCCTGGGAAATGGTGACAGCTTTGTTTAGCCTGGCCTTTCCACCTGCTTCAAAGGTTGATATGAACCTGAAACAAGCAAGTACACCCTTGTCAGAGCTTCAGGAAAGTGGAAAGTGCAAGGCCACACCAGGCTGCTGTCACAGCATTGTTACAGTTTGCCAGTAGTGCCATATAGAACCAGCATCCATTAGGAGCCTAAGGAGAAAGAAACCAGCCGGGTCAGGAGAGGAGGCAAGGCTGCAGCTAGAGGCAGAGGGCTCTCTCCTCGGCTTCCTCTGGTCCCCACACTCCTCCGGCTCCCTCCACATGCCCTCTCTGCTCTGTGATTCCAGGACAACAATTTGATCTTCTATGAATGCAGCGCCTGTTCGGGTCACAACACCGAGGAGTCCCTACTCCACCTGGCCAGGTAGGAAAGGCACCCAGCGAGGAGACATACTGCTGAGCCCAGCTGCAGTCCGCCCGGTTGATGCCTGTCTGCTCTCCCCAGTCCCCATTCAGGACATAGCTGAGCCCCTTTTCCTGTCTTCCTGAGCCCCTGAGTGCAGGCATAACTAGGACTTTATAGGGGAATGTTGGGAGTCAACGCCAGGGTTCTGAAACAGTAGTGCAGAGAAGAAAAGCACCGCTGCCTGATACCTCTCCTGTAGTCAGTCCCTTTCGGTCTCAGAGGCTGCCATTTGCCCAGAAAATACACCTGCAAAGTGTTAGCACTGCCTGACACTGCAGTGGGATTAGCTGAGAGTCATCTTCAGAACAAGTGGAGCTCACATTATGGGCTCTTGGTTGGAGAGCAAGGAACCAGAGAGAGATAGGACTGTGCAAAAGTGAAGCAAGCAGTGCTCCATCATAAAGGCAGGAACCAGGCCGAAAGGACTGGCCACGTAGAAAGACCCAAAGAGCCTGACTACACCAAAAATTAGGGAGACCGAACAACACAGGGGGCTTTTCAACACTCAAGCTTCTGTTCATTCCTCCAGCCAACAAGCACTGAACACTGCCCCGTGTTACTCTCCACACTCACACGGGAGCATCTGAAAGTATCTGACTTTGAGTAATTAAGACTCCAGAACAAGTCTATGGGCTATGGCTTATACCGAGGGGGAAAGTTTTAGACCTTGCTCTGCCACTGACTCATTGACTACATTGGGAATATAAGAAAACCAGTCACTCTGGGCGGTAGTGGTGCACGCCTTTAATCCCAGCATTCGGGAGGCAGAAGACAGGCAGTTCTCTGTGAGTTCGAGGCCAGCCTGTTCTACAGAGTGGGTTTCAGGACAGGCTCCAAAGCTACAGAGAAACCCTATCTGGGCAGGGTGGGCGTGGGGGATCAGTCACACCTTCCCTGCCTAACTAACAGGGTGTGAAAATCAAAGGAGACACAGGAGGCAAGAGTGCCAGGGAAGCACAGAAGAAGGTCTTTCCTGTCATTATTGTCACCTCTCACCTCCTATGTTTAACCTGCGGCCATGGCCACAGGCACCATCTCTGAAGAGTTGACGACCAGTCATGAACATATGCTGAGCTTCAAACTGTGTTTGTTACTGCACTGGCTGCAGAGTCACCAAGATAAAGACACAGTCTCGATCCTTAAGCAAATGTATGTGACCCTGAGTGATAGAGTCACACAGCGAGGGATTAGGGCCAGAGGTTCACCAAGATGACCAAGGGTGGCTTGCCTGCAGAGGTGTCATGACAGGAGGAAGAGTCCATGGTGACTGAGCCCTCTGTCCTCGTAATTATAGTCATGCATCTGTGTGATTAGAGGTAGACTTTAAACATTGGTGCTCAGGTGAGGGCTACTGGTCCCCGGGGCCAGCCCCCAGCCCAGCAGTTTCTCTGCTCTGACACCATCTCTTCTTCTCCTCCAACCCCCCCCCCCCCCGCCCGGCTCCCCCCCCTCCCCCCCCCCCCTCCCCCCCCCCCCTCCCCCCCCCCCCTCCCCCCCCCCCCTCCCCCCCCCCCCTCCCCCCCCCCCCTCCCCCCCCCCCCTCCCCCCCCCCCCTCCCCCCCCCCCCTCCCCCCCCCCCCTCCCCCCCCCCCCTCCCCCCCCCCCCTCCCCCCCCCCCCTCCCCCCCCCCCCTCCCCCCCCCCCCTCCCCCCCCCCCCTCCCCCCCCCCCCTCCCCCCCCCCCCTCCCCCCCCCCCCTCCCCCCCCCCCCTCCCCCCCCCCCCTCCCCCCCCCCCCCCCCACTGCCCAGGTTACTCAAAGAGCAAGAGGACACAGTGAGGAAGGACACCATTCAGGTTGGCCCCCCTGCCAAGAAGAAATCCTGTTGTGGCTGACAGTAGACCCTCCCCAGCCATCCTAACCAGGCCCACCATCATCTTCAGCCAGCAGTTCTCTAAAGGCCAAGGTCACATGGCTACTTGAACCAGCACTTGGGCTCCTATGCAGCAACAGCTGGCAAGGTTCCCCCCTGCCTTGTCCTTGTTGGTGGCTTGCCGCCCCTAATGGAAGGAAGCACCTGCAGCCAGAAGGCTGCCTTTTTCTCTATCTTAAGATCAGCTCCCCCTTCTCATCTGTACCCCAATACCCACTCCTCCCTCCTCCTTCCTCTCCTGCGATATGGAAAGGAGCAGATGGGCTTTTCCAGAAAAGTCACCACGTGCCTTCTCCACCTCCCTTTTCCTCTCTCCATGCCCTCAAGAGTCTCTGTGCTGCAGTTGCCATGGCAACTGTGCAGGGGCAACTTGATGCTACTTGAAGGCCAAAGATGTGCTATTTGGGTGATGCTAGGGTAGCCTGTCTTACTTGGCCCCTGCTCTCCAGAAACCAGAGAGCTGCTCTTGGCACACATGTTATGGACCTTGAGATACTGGAGTGTCTGCTCCCGTTTCCAGGGCTCTCTCTGCTTCTTCCGGAGTTCCTGAACAAAAGGCTTCACAACATCTTCCAGCAACCACTGCAGCCACTGGATCTGTGCTTGGAGTCTCTGCAGTATGCTTCCTGATGAACCTCAACCCTGACTCCAGGGTGAACACTGGGTGACAACTTCATGCCTGGAGTCACACAACAGACGGGCTTCCTACTTAACTTTGACAGAGAAACCAAAGAAAACCAAAAGGGGAAGCCAGCCATGGCTAAAGATGGTGGCCATTTCTGGAGGGTTTAAGTAAGATATGTGTCATTGAATGAAGGGCATTTTCTATGGGTTTCTCCAAACTCTTTGGAAAATCACATTTGATTATTGACAGGGTAGATTGACAGCTAGGAGTGGCAGGGAGGGGGACCCAACACTAGCCCCGTAATTAGTGACTTCACTTTATTTCATTTTCATTTATTCTGGGAGGTTACATTCTTTTTTAAAAAGCAGTTGTGATGTTGGCATTTTCTGGTGCTTGAGAGGTGAGCTGCTTGTAGCTGCTGGCTTCAGCAGAGGGCGCTTGGCTTCAGGGATGACTTGAAGCCTGCAAGGGCCTGTTCCCTGCTGCTGGTCAGCGCTGACTGTCTGGGTGCTTGAAAGCCCATCCTTGCCCTGGACAGAAGGCAGGATAAAAAGATCACAAAGGTCCCTTTTGCAAGCGACTGGCATTTCAAGTCTACAACCAAAGAGCCAGGCATCAACTCCATGGAAAGTGGGTGGCCCAACAGGTGAGGATCATTAAAAGGACAAATTATTGGGGACAATCCCACATAACCAAATAAACAGCGAGCTAAAGTTCCTAGGCATGCTTTATGGCCTCTCCCTCAGACCCTCCAAAGAATGGGAGCCCCCACAATTATCAGGCACATGCCCACCTGCTCTTGGCAGGCTTTTATCTTTTTCTAACCTAGCATTTGCAGGGAGCAGAGAGCCTGTGGAGGATGCTTAACAGAATCCACCCCATAGCTCATAGCTCAGGTCCATAGCTCAGCAGGCCAGCTCCACCCCAGATCCTACCCCATCAGTTAAAGATAGGATGGGTTATTCGAGGCTGGGCAGCTTTCTGCTCAGGTACATAGGATTCCTTGTGATGGCGGAAATGACATAGTGATTTCCTTCATAGGCTGGTCCTGGATCTCAGTCTCAGATTGGAGACAACTCCCAAAAACTCCTTTCCCTAGCAGAAGGGTGTTGGTGGGGGGTTGCATTTGTGGTTTGGAGCATGCAGAAGAGGCATGACAGCCAGTCAATTATCCTTCTCTCTCTCTCTCTCTCTCTCTCTCTCTCTCTCTCTCTCTCTCTCTCTCTCCCTCTGCGTGTGTGTGTGTGTGTGTGTGTGTGTGTGTATGTATGTGTGTGTGTGCATTGTGTGTGTAGGGAAGGTACAAGGGAGGATGACCATGGGGAGAGCAGCCAGCTGCTCTGTTTCTGAGAAGAGATGGAACTGGAATTCGTAGAGCAAATGGGCTATGCCTGGGATCCTCTGGGTCCCCAGATGTCATAATGTCCAGCACTATGTCCCTACTAGGGCTATAATTCCTGTTCATAAACAAAGTGCCTTGAAGAGTTTAGAGGACAGAGGGAGAGGCCTGGTGCCAAGCCTTTGGATATGTGGCAAGTTCCATGATTCTTTAGAGGTCCAGGAGTAGGGATTAACAGGGGCAGGGGGCCTAGGTTACCACCTTCTTTAGCCCCACTGTAAAGGAAAGAGAAGAATGTGGGCTTCAATGGGGCTCTGAGAAGTCCCTCGTCCCCAGTTCTCAGCTTCTCCAATTCTTTTTAAGATACAGTGTGGATCTGAGCCATCCTCAGGATCTGTCACCCTGGCCCAGAGGCTGGCAGAGTGTTCAGAAGAACCTCTGGATCCATCCCATTTGCGTCCCTGTTGATTAGCCATCTTTCTTGCTCATTTGTCATAGACTGAAAGTTTCAATGTCTTCCTCACAAGGAACTCGATTACAGGATCAATGGCCATGAAGGACTCAGCACTGTCCCCAGTACTTCACAGGCGTTGGTCACCAGGGTCTGTTTCATTGGTAGCACAGAGTCACCAACAGACCACTTTCCAGACATCTGCCCTGATGGGCACACTTACCAGTACCACCTCATGTGAGCATCTCTCTTCCCAGCCCATTGGCTGGCTTCCATGTCAGAGCTGACTTCTCTCTCGACCTTACAGTCATTTGTTCCCATGGACTCCCAGGGTTGCTGGGTTCCTATCAGGTCCTGTGTTGCAGCAGGGGCCTTTGTTGATGCCAGGCCCCAGGCTGTGTTGTGTCTCCCAGTCCCTCATCAGGACTGGGGAAGCGGCTGAGACCTGGTGCCAGGCCATGGATATTTACCTACGAGTGACCTTGGCTCTTGACAGTCCCACAGCTCCCTACCTTCTTGCCCTTAGCTGACTCATGCTGCTTTGTGTCTGCTGCAACCACAGCCCTATGTCACCAAGTCAGGAAGTACTGCACCAATCTAATGTCCCTAGTGTTTCATTCCTGCTTAGGGTTTGATTCTTTCAGTCTCTCTGGGGTGTTTCATGTTCCTCTGTGAACTTGCAGTCACCCCATCTCTCTGTCCCATTCTTCACCTAACTCTGGACTCCCCACTCTCCTCAGAAGCCCACTCTAGCCAGACCTATGACCTTTGCCAAATGATCCTGCTCTGGGTCTGACGTGAGCAGTGCTCCAAAGGGTCTTAACGGTCTCAGCGAAGGTGCTAACATGTGGTGGCCCAGGGCTCCCACTGTACTTTCACAGAGAACTCTAAGAAAGGTAGTGCTTAGGTCAAAGGAATGAGTCTCTGGTGGAAGAATTTTAAGCCATAATAGTTTATAGGGGTCAATAGTTGGGACCATGCTGCCTTTCCCTCTGTCCCTCTCAGAGATCTGTTTGCTTCATGACTAGGGGCTTTACTGCTAGGTTCAAAAATATACAGATGATGACATCGTCAGTATATAGTGGCATCCTTTGTGTTCAGTTAACTTTTGTCTTAAAGTCTACTTTGTGGTCCCTCTTTTATTTTCTGTTTATATGGTATGTTTTTTTCACCTTCCAACCTGTATATCTTCAAAGTCAGTCTCTTGTAAACAATATAGTTGGTTCATTTCTTTCAATGCATTTCTACTATCTTTTAATTGGAAATTTTAGTTTCTTTATATTTAATATGATTGAGAAATGATTATGTCTGCCTCTTTGCTATTTCATATGTGTGTGTGTATCCTTTGTTTTTCCATCACCACCTTCTTTCCTATTAAATAGATATTCTCTGGTCCATCATTTAATTATCTTACCTGCTTTATTTTTAAAATATATCTTCTTGGTACTTGCAATGAGGGTTACTATTAACATTTCAATTTATAACAATATAGTTGGATCAATAACAATTTAATTTCTTTTATTTAGGGCTTTACTTTTTATTTTACCTGACTGCTAACTTAAGATAGCAACATAAATGAATAACAACAAAAATTAATTAACTGTTTCTTAATTCTGAACTCATTTTGAATACCAAGTAAATCCTAATGTGTGATTTTTGCATGATGTAGCCTTGAGATGTTGCAAGTATCAGAAAATTATGAACCCCTATCTTGGGTATTAGTTTAATAACAACTAAATTTTACTGAGACACAAAATTCTGATTCTTTGTCATTCTATTCTCCTCTTCTTTATGTTGATATATTACCAGCAATTATCTTTATGCCTCTGAGCCTGTCATGTAGATTTACAATTATTGCTTCATGCATTCATCCTTTAGTTTGTCCTTTAAAAGGAGTTATGAGTGGTCAAGGGCAGAGAATAAATGTCAATGGAATGCTCATCTATAAATGGGATGTCTATATCTCACCCTACCCCCAAAACTGAGACCATAAGAGAAGAGAGGATGATAAGATTGTTGAGGAGGACTGGCCCCAGACAGTGTCTTCTGAACATGATAGGACCACTGCACACATGACCTCACAGCTGCTGTGGTTGCCTTCACAAGACCTGCACAAGATCAAGTCAATCAACATCCCAACTTTGGGAGGGGGTGCTCATGAATCACTACCCCCCAACAAGGGGCTGATGGCTTCTGGGGAGGGAGAATCAGTTATCTTTAAGGGTGCAGCCCCTGGGGGATCAACCATGCTCCAGGGGATGGTTCCATGCTTGTGACTATATGGACAGTACTAATTAGACTCGGTGGGTTATTAAAAATACAGAAAAAAGACAAATTGGGAAAGAGTATTGAGGGGGGAGTGAGTTTGGGAGGAGTTGGAGGAAGGATGGAAGTGAATATGATCAAAATATATGTATGAATGAAATTATCAAAAAATGATAAGAATATTTATATTATAAGGAGTATAAAGTAAAAAATGCATTTATAGTCTCTTTCATACTTAACTGTATATTTTTTACCAGTGTGTTTTATTCCTTCATGTTTTTCATATTTTTGGTTCTCTGTTCACCCAAAGGACTCCCTTTAGTGCTTCTCAGAAGGACCTACCTACCAGAGTGAAACTCTATCAGTTTCTATTTATCTGGAAATGGATTAACTTACTCTATTTGGGGGGTATTGTTTGGCCAGATACAAAAACTTTTAGTTGACTTTCTTTTCTCTTTCAGCACTGTGGCTATGCACTCCCACTGTGTCCAGTGCCCATAGTTCCTGGTATGAAATTAGCTTAGCCCCACTGAGGATCCCTTGTATAAGACGTTGCTTTTCTCTTTGTGCTTTCAAAGTTCTTTGTCTTTCATGGATGGATTTCGATGTCCAACTATGGATCTCTTTCCATACATCCTTCCTAGATGATGTTGAATTTCTTGGATGGTTGACTTGGTTGATAGTTTTCCTAAGTTTGGGGAGGTTTCTGTCATTATTTCTTTACATGCCATCTCCTCTGCTTCAGGAATTCTCATTATGCTGTGTTGGTATTCTTAATAGTTACACAGGTCTTTGAAGTTCCATTGTTTCTCTTCATCTCATTTTCTTTGTGTTCCTCAGTATGGAAAACCTCAATTGTTCATTGTTAGGGTTCCTCTGTCTTGGTTGATTTCCTCAACTTGGTAACGTATGACTTACCCTTCCTTTTAGTTCTTCAGGGGTGGCTTCCCTGCAGATCATCTGAGCACATTTAAAATGGCTTACCTTTAGGGTGTTTAGTGGGTAAAAGCACCTGCCACAAAATCCTGATGACCTGAGTTCAAGCCCAGGAACCCATGGTGGAAGGAAAGAACTGGCTCCTTGAAGTTATCTTCTGGCTTCCATATATATGTGTGGCAATTTTGCACTCCAGACACACACACACACACACACACACACACACACACACACACACACACACACGCACACACACACACACACCAGTGATGATGATGATGATGATGATGATGATGATGATGATAATACATAAATAATTTTTAAATAGCTTAGATTTCAAGTCTCAAATCTTCCCTGTCTCCTTCCTTCTTCACAGTGCATACAGTGTAGCAGGCATCTGGGCTCACTGTTAGCTCCACCTCTGGGCTCCTTCTCAGCCTCTCCTCTCTTCTGAACTGAGCAAGGGAAGATAGCATTTCAATCTGTGAAACTCTGCCCTCCAACTGAGCTCCTGGAAGCCCTGGGAGAGATGAGCTCCCCTGGGAAGGTTCAGTCCCTTGGGTTGGTGAAGGGATGCTGGTGTCCTCGGATAGATATCCATGTGCCCCCTGCATCAGAGCCAAACCAGGAAGTGGTAGCACACTCCTCTAATCCCAGCACTCAGGAGGCAGAGGTAGGAGGATCTCTGTGAGTTCGAGGCCAGCCTGGTCTACAGAGTGAGTTCCAGGACAGCTCAGGCTGTTACATAGAGAAACCTGGTCTCAAACAAACAAAAACAAAAATAAACAGAGACTATGCAAAGCTCTGATAGGCAAGGACAATGAAAGTAGAGCCCACATGCGCAATGAATCGAATTCCTAAGTGGCTGCTGCTTGGAATCAAAGTGTCTATTTAACTTCCAAATCTGACCCTGGCTCTGGGAGCATGGTGCCTCTCCTCCCTTCATGCTCAGCCAGGATCCACAGGATGAGACTCTATCAATTAACCCCACCCTCCTGGTGGATGGATGAGAGGATGCCAGAGCAGTCAGAGTCTCCAGCACCCTCCTTAGACACCTCTGGTGGTGTTTCTATTAGTGAACATATCCATTACCAGGAGCAGGCACACGGAAGGACCTACCACACGATTCAGTGGGGCCAATTTAATCAAAGTGTCCTACTTAGAAGAATA